TCTGAACTCTGAAAAAAGGTGTGCGAATTCTCTCGTCTGATCGGCCAACGTCATCTCTTTAATCTCTTATGCTAATAAATGAATTTGGCGTTTCCTGGCCAGTACCTCTGTTCTGTAATTCCCCTGACCAATTTCCTACCCTCTTTACAGTAGCTACCAGATCTGAGATGGCATTTGTAGATGAAATCAGTGAATTGGGAGAAATCGACTGTTAATTTACTTCATTGACAGGGATTCGTGCAAAAGCAAGCAGTTCCTCGCCATCGCACATCGAAAGAACTGCATCTGGGATTGACATTTCTGGCTCATTCGATATCGCCAATAAACGTTCCGCTGTTCGTTGCAGCTGGTCCAGAGCAGCCTGGAAAATTTTTTGGGATATAGTTAGTGATGATGTTAGTGAAAGTACCAAACGCATTCTGTAGTTGAAGTAGTAAAGCAAACTGCAAAGACTAGTTTTTGATTTTTTCATAATTTTCGTGTATAAACATTTTCTAATATGTTTTTGAACAAGTTATCTAAAATTCATTTCTTTCAAATGTTGTCTGTATCATTGTCTTTAAAAATTGTAAAATGTGCGGTGTCGACTGAAAGCATTTTCATGCGATAAGCAGACCGACCTCATTCACTTGAAACATGTCGCTTTTATCAAATTTTAATGCAGCAAAATCCTCGATCATTTTTACAATTGTCGAAATAATGATCCGGCGGCGCTGCCGATCGAGTGATGATGACAATGAAGACTCCCAGTCTCGCTCAATGCTGCAATTCACAAAAGGTAAAATTTGCTGTAATGGAGCGCAAAATAGTAAAGGCATATGAGGAAGTATCATTAAGGATCAACACGTGCCGGCTTACGGTTCCCCTTGCATATCGGAGCATACATCTAAATGGAGAGATGGGTGTGACTCGATAAGAATGTTTTCTTAAATTCGACTTACAGCGGATCGATCCTTTAATCTAAGAGTTCTCGTAACCCAGCCCTGCTCTTATTGGAACGAAAGTCTTGACATCGATGAACAACAATCAAAGGAACTTTGCTTTCTCTACAGCTTTCTTCCAACTGCTTTACTGAGAAAGCGTAACTAACAGCCGAAAAAAACCTTTTTTTTTGTATTCTACATTCCCTCTTCTCAAACTTTTGTTGAGAATCACTTTGAACTGGATGCAATTCATGCGCACAAAAGTGTTCACATTGTGCACACCACACCAGGCAGTAGTCGTAAATGTCTTCAAGATGTCCGCCACTTTTCAGAATCCCTTTCATTCTGTTGATTCTGATTCAAAGCACCATGCAAACAGTGTGCTAAATGATTTTGCAAAATTTTCAGATGTTTTCATTTCCTGCTCTGTGCAATTTTACCCAGTCCCTATTCTTCCCCGAACTCTATGCATGCATTGCATCTTTGGACTAGCTGCTCCAAGTTAGTTAATAGAAAACGCCATGCTTTGATGAAGTAAAATTTGAAAAACAGAAACAAAAAATAATGCGCAATTAAAACGATGCTAAATGTTTATTCCGCGGGCTTAAGGCTATTACGGTTTAGGTTGCGTTACCCGCTGGCACCAGTTAGTCTTCTGGTAATTCCACATAGTGGTCAGGCCTCACTCAACAACTTTTTTTCAAAAACCTGCAAAAGTCAACACACTGCGAACTTGGGCTTCCGTTAGCTACTTTTTGTATGCACTAGCATATCTATCACATCACAAAAGCAAAAAAAAAAAAAAAAAAAACGCGGAACCAATCGCTTAGTTTGGCAAAATCATCGCAGGCTTGCTCGATGGCATCAACAATAAATGAAGACGCTGTTGCTTTGCTGTTTGATTTCAGTTTTGCCAATCCGGAATAATACAGCAGCATTTTGGCTATCTGAAATAGATCGAACCGTACTCCAGAATCTCTGTCATTTCCGTGTAGACCACGCCTGACACACTAGACTGCTTTTATATGCTATTTTTAGTGCCAATGCCGTAAACAATAGACGGATCCAAGCTAAGACTAGGAAAACTATAAAGCAAAAGAACAAGGAGATGAGAAAACCTTTTGCAAGATATTCGAGTGTCCCATTCGGAACGAGACATCCTCCCATGCACAGGGAATTTCACACACAGGCTTATGATTGCCCCACGGCATCGTGTAATACTTCTTTTCAGCGAAAGCCGGCATAACCTAAACAACCAAGAAGTAAGCAAGGTTTAACTGTCTTCCTAGCATCAACTTCAAGGTCCGAAAAAAAAAACATACACTTTTATTCTGCGCATCTCAACAAATAACTTGCCTTCACGGAATTTTTTAAAATTTTCCGGTTATATTAACAACAGCATTCAGTCTTTTGAGTACTCTCAAATTTCTTTGTAATGTCCTCAGTGAGAAGACTGCAGAAAATTTCATCTCATTCCAACATTATTGATGTTCCCTACCAGCAAAGAACCGGAAACCATTTGATCATGAAAAATATTTCCCCTGCTATCCCTCTCCCCGCCCACTTCCTTCCCTTGCAGCTTAAGAAATCCTGGTAAGTGGAACTCACTGAAAGAGTTCTTGCAGTGCACTTTGGTACTTTCCCATAAGCTCGGTTGCCATATTCTCCGATACTCAACGAAAAATGAACATTCTTTGACCTGCAAGCCGAAATTTATCAACTATTAGAATAAAGTGAACTCCAAATTTTTACCAAATTTCGGCAAATACTTGCCACTGTTGTTCAGCCAGTTTTGTTTTTTTTTTCTTCTTTTACATTTATGTAAAGGCAAAAACGAACACTGAAGAAATTTGTGTGTATGTTTGTGTGTATCTGACTAGCTTTTGAAGGCTGTATTAAGGCAAGATAAGAAAGCTGAGATTTTTGAAGCACACTTCAGTTGGCACATAAGATTCTGACTCTCAGTCACAATTGCAACTGTATCACTTCAGATTTCACACAAAATGTACAGAGGGTAAAATAATGCATAAAGCGTATACTCTCTGGTACATTCAGCTAATGTTAACGTTCAGCACCAATTTCTCACCCCCACGCTCGCACCATTCCAAACTTGCTCCAGTGGCATTTCAGATGAATGCAGCACTCTCAGTTCGGCATAAGCTCTGTACATCGTGCTACATGAAGCCTGAGCGGCGTTAGCAAAAACGGGTTTTGCGGCAACAAGATTTAGCTGTTATTGTTTAATTAATCTTATAAAAGAAAAATGCTTAATTGAGATTGGGATGAATGAAATTGGCGACGAAGAACGTAGACAAAAGCACATGTTCCGATGTACGCAACTGCGGCCCCAACGACAGGACGGTATCCGGCAGAATGGGATCGCGATAAACGTGCCCACAGTCTTCTTCCAAACAAGTTACCTCCACAAGCGCGCGGGCCACGTAGCTGCAAATTTCTTCTTTACTTGGCATCCACTTTCTTTTTTTGCGCATATACTGGAAAATTATTATAATCCATGTTCTCTTGCGGAGATGCTAGTTAGGCGCACTTGAAATAAACAGAAGTAACAAATGAATGCTGAAACTGAAAAGTACCAATCGCCAGGTCGTCT